CATGGTGCTACATGGCTGTTAGAGCTCCAGCCATTACATCCATCTTCCAGCCAGCAGGTTAGAGGAAGTAATGAAGAATGGCACACCCCTTCTGTTTAAGGTTCCTTCCGTAATGCTGCACACACCCCTTTCATTGCCAGAATGTGGCCACCAGGGTACTCCTAGTGGCAGGGAAGACTGGGAAATGCAGCTCTGGTTCTGGGAAGCCATTGGCAGAGCTGGGAGTCAGCAATCTCTGACTGAGGGAGAAAGGGAGAGCTACTTTCCCTGCCTATTTGCTCTGGCGGCTGGGGACAAGGGCTTTGTTGGACATGGATGCCCATAATGCAGAGTGGCATCTGCTCCAGCCTGGCCCTCAGGAGCCCCAGTGGGAGCGAAGGACGCACAAAGGGGCGGGACAGACGGGGGGCAGGGGCAGGGTTCAACATGGGAAGCCAGGGCTGGCTTTCTGCTCCTCCTGTCTCTGTCTGCAGTGAGCCCGGCTCCCTCCGCACCAGCCGGCCTGCTCTCCCGCGTTCTGTGGCGGCTGCATAATATTCCAGGACGCAGATGGCTGTAACTCACTTAGCCACTCTTCTTCAGTGGATATACACTGTTTCGGTGTTCAGTGGCCTTCTAAAGCCAGCTGTGTGGCCTGGGTGTGCCACTGCCCGCTGGGGGACAGCATGAGATGATCACGTGCCTGCACAGAGCTTACCTCACATCACCGGGCCGTTATCATCCTTGACCCCCTGTGCCTTCCACTCCCACTCGGCCCTCAAAGCTTGTGCTGTCCTGTCTTTACCACGGGGATGGTGGCATGGCTCCTCCTCACAGGCCTGGCTCTCCTTCCTCCATCCTTCTAGAAACGGGGTGGCCACACCGCCCGCCCGGCCTCCCCCACCTCCTGGCTCTGTGCACTGATCGAATGGAGCTGTGGCCCCTGGAGATACCGGATAGAGAAATGCAGAACCCTGGGCCCATCCTGATGACAGGCGATGGGCTCCTGCAGGTGGGCGGGTGTGGATGGGCCACAGCCGATGGTGGCAGTCCCACTGGCTTCCAGTGAGTTCCCACTGCCCCAGGCTGACTGCCAGCGCCCTCCTCCTCATGCTCGCCCTGGTGTCGGCACATGAGGGCAGGCTGGCTGGGTGGGCAGAGGCAGGGAACTGTGGCGTGCAGAGCCACCTGCCTTTTGCAGCTGGGTTGCCTTGGGCATGCCACATGCCTTCTCAACCTTGTTTTCTCCCTCTGTGAAATGGGAATGGCATCCCTGCCTCCAAGCCCCTCAGAGATGGAGGAGGCCAGGCACCAACTGCTTTTGAAGGCTCCCTGTTCACGAAAATATGGTCTGCTGGACCTGCTAACATTTAACAGCTTGCTGCTTTCAGCGCATGTTCTCCCGATCTGAGTGACACATCTGTGCTCCCCACGGGAGTGGGGGTGCTCAGACCACGCTCAGTCCCAGCTCCTGGGACAGCGTGGGTGAGGCAGAGGGGCCTAGGCCTCCAGTTTGTACCCTTGGGGCCTGCTCCAGGTGACAAGGCTCTTGCCAGTCCTCTGCCCCACTAGGACCCCACTCTTGGTTGGTGAGATGGAGCCACCCGCTGGAGGTGGCACTGTGAGGAGTGGGCTGGGATGAGACCTCCGTGGTCCTTACACACCATCTTGCGGCATCCCAAGATGTGTCTCAAGCTACACAGCTCATCAGAAGTGGAAATTTGAATTTGACACAACACCGGCCCCAGAAGAATCAACTAGAGTCCTGTGATGGGGGAGAGGGACTCACTGAAACCTCCCCGGGTGCCAGGGAAGCAGCCTGAGACACCAGCTGACAGGCCTGGCGCCCTCGTGCAAACAGTGTTTGTTTGTGTGTGCATGCTCGTGCACACTCGAGGAGTCTCTCTGCGGGAGCACAGCCCACAGGGCTCAGTTGTCACCCCTGCCAGCCCATCCCTCCCCGCCACCAGCCTTCTCTGTGTCTCTCCTGAGGACAGTTCCCTCAGCTCAGGGTCAGCGTCTCTGAACTGGCCTTGGATGGCTCATGCTTTCAGCGTCTCCAGGAGCCCTTGAAAGCAGTGGATGGTGGGGGACACGGCCGGCATTGTCCCTTTAAGACTTGTCCTGGGTCGGATCCAGCAGAGAACAGTCTGTAAACAGCCTGAGCACAGCAGGGAAAACAGACGTTTCACAGGCAAATGAGGATGACATAGCAGACCCGGGAATTCCCTCACTGCAGCAAGGGCAGCAGGAGGATGTGGCCCTGCTCTGCCGAAGCCTTGACACCCGACGTCCTCCCAGCAGCCCCAGGAAGAGCGCAACTCCACCCCCATGTACAGCTGAGGACGCTGAGGCTGGGAGAGGAGATTCCGATGTTACGCCACAACCTCCCTGGCTTCCTCTTGGAACGTGGGAGTAATGAGCCTCACAGCGCGGACCTGCCATGTGGCCCAAAAAGACAACGTGCTCGGGATGGGGCCTGTCACCCGCCAAACCTTCTTACCCTCTCATCCTTGGTGCCCACCTCCTCTCCTCCTTTGGCCTCCCAGGGTCCCTGGGCCTCCCCTGCAGCTCGCAGGGCCCTTTCTGGTTGTAAAGTGCCTTCTCTGCGGTATCCCCTCCCGCGCCCTTCCAGGCGTGGGCCCTTGTAGGCCAGCGCTGCCCCCGGGCTGGGAGTTTGTCCCATACAATGAGGGCGGGGGCTGTTTTGTGTGCATGATGCCAACGGTTAACTCTGGATTTCCAGGTGCTTGTGAATAACCAGGTGAGCCGACAGTGGCCTGGGTTATGCAAGAACAGGAACCACCACCGTAACAGGCCACCGTGCCCAGACCCTGCCCCCTCTTAGGCAGCGCTGAGACAGTGACAACCTGAGCCTCAGTTTCTCAGCTATGAAGTGGGCCAACAGCTCTTCCTTCACAAGAGGATCCCATTGGGAAGAGCTGCTCGCGCCTCCTGTCCTGGTGGCAGCCGGCCCAACACAGGCCTGGTGGTCTGAGCGGGGGACTGTGAGACTTGGAGGCTGTGATCAGGAGGAGCCTCCCTGGCCTCCCAGGCTGTTCCCTACACGCCCTTGACCCCCAGGCCCCCCAGATGGGCAAAGCACTGAAGAATAAGAACACAGGGACACAGAGGCCGAGCAACCAGCCCCCATCACTCAGCAGGTGTGGAATCAGCCAGGGCTCTGGGCACCCTGCTGCCCCCAGCATGCCCCTGCCACAGTGGCATGAAAGTGTCCACAGGGCAGGAGCAGGGCCTGACCTGGTGTGACTGGAAAATCCCTTTTTCTGAAAAATCCCTCAGGGTGACTTGCACTTTTTATGCCTTGGGTTTCACTTACAAAACTCGTCCCCTCCCCAGCAGGGGCGAGGGGCTGGACGGGAGATGAGGAGCCTGGGGCCCTCACGGGTGGGGCAGGCACTGAGTTCACACGCCCACCGGGGGGCCGCCTGGCCAGCCTGCGGGCTGGGCAGTCCCCACCAGAGGGAATGTCCAGTGAGGCAGGGGAAGGGCAGACAGCCTCAGGAGTTCTGAGCACTCCTGGCTGGGCCTCTCCCCAGCTGTGCCTCAGTTTCCCCCCGTTAGGTGAGGGGGAAATGAGCACTTCCCGGGGCATTTCAAGACAAGAAGTGACACACCCAGCCTCTGTGCCTCTGGTTCACAGACTCCCACTGCCTTGTTACAGGGCCTGGCATACAGTAGGTGCTCCGTGATTGCAGAATAAAGGAATAAGCTAGGCTGGGGCTCAGGCTGCCCTGAGGAGCTGCATGGTGAGCTTGGACACCACTGTCTAACCTCTCTGCTTTTGTTTCTTTATGGGGAGGGAAAAAAGATCATGTTAACGTGGCCTTGACCAAACTCCAGCCTTACGCTAACAGCGTACAAAAGCAGATGCACAGAGAGGGTAAGCCACCTGCCTGAGCCCACACAGTCACTGAGTAGCAGTTCTAGGATGTAGGGTCCCAGCAGGCTGGCCTCCCCAGGAAGGTTGGGAGGATCACAGGGGTCTGCGGGTCTGCTCACTACTTCAGGGGCTTTAGAGGAGGCATCCGCAGATACATGAGATAATGCGGAAGTCTGGGGTGCCACCCAGTAGAAGTGGGCAAGTAAAAAGCAGTGGAGTCTGGAGTGAGGTCAGGGTCAGAAGGGGAGGACACAGTGGCCCAGCCTTCAGCACAAGCTCCTGCAACACGATGATGCCCCCAGGGGAGATAATGTCCTCCGCATCCCACCTGGCTTCCCACGCCTGGGAGAGGTCCACCAGGCCGTCCTGGGAAAGTACGGCTGATTGAGTCAAGGGCTGGAAAAGCCAACGTACTCTGCGGGGCCCCACAGCCTGGCTTGAACACAGGGTGCCGCCTCAGGGCAAGGCGGTCAGGCTTTAGAGGCTGCTCCAGCAGGCCGGAGGGACTGACACCAAGGAGGGGCCAACCCACGCTGACGCTCTGTGCCTCCCTCCTGCCCCTCCGCGAGGCTGCGCCGGGCCCTCACAGCCCCCAGCTCCCCGGCGGGAGAGCCCAAGCTGAGACAGTGGGCAGCCTGGCCGTACTAGCTGACGCTCGGTTGCTATGTGCGTGGAGGGCGCCGTGCTGGAGAGACCTGCGGGCCCCGCGGGGAGCCTGCCTGGGAAAAACCCCAAACACTGGCGGCGGCGGCAACGCCCGCTCATCTTCATGGAGTTTGCCAAGTGGCCAGGGAAGGGCTGGTTCTTGGCCTCACTTTACGGATTAAAAGAGTCTACGCCACGACGTTGGCTAGGCGGGGGTGGGCTGAGGGGGGCTGCCTTGCCCACGACCCTGTGGCCAGGCACCTGGGGGGCCAGAGCGCAGCGCAGGGTGCTCTGGGACCACCGCGGGACCCGGCGCCGAGCCCCTCCTCCCTCGAGGAGCCCTGCTAGGGCGTCTCAGGCCGGAGGCGGCGCCATGCCGAGCCCACACGCCCTTTCAGGGCCGTTGCCCGCCCCGGGTGGAGGCGGAGTCTGCGGGCGGCCGCTCGCGGCAGGACGGGCGGGCCAGGGGCGGGCCTGGGGGGCGGGCCGGGGCCGGGCGTGCAGCCGGGGACCGGGCAGCAGAGGCCCGGGCGCGCTCAGGCCCGGGAGCAAGGCGGCCTGGGCGGGCACAGCATGGACTCGGGGCCCGAGGAGTACGAGCTCAACGGCGACCTGCGCCCGGGCTCGCCCGGTTCCCCGGACGCCTTGGTAAGACTCCCCCCACCGCTGCGTGGCCTTGGCCGGCACCGCCCTCTCTGGACCCCGCGCCGGCGGCTCCCCGGGCACCTGTGGGCACCGGGCCCGGTGCGCGCCGCGTCCGCACTGCGGGGCGGCGGGGGACGCCCCGCCCCGGGCCTAGTCTTTGCCGCCCTGTCGGGGGCCAGAGCGGTGGCTTCGGGTCCTCCGGCCACCCGGGCAGGTGAACGGAGCGCGGCGGCGTGGGGCGGGCAGCCGTGGTGCCGTCCCCTGCTCTGCCAAGCAGTGCTCACTCCTGGCCTCTGCTGCTTCTCCAGCCGAGGTCGGCCGCGCCCCTACGCCGGCCTCCCCCCACCTTCCGCACCAGCCTCTAAGTTCACCTTCGATGTGCCACCTCCTCCGCACGTTGCGCCCCAGGGCGAGTGGAGAGGAGTCACAGCCTCCGGGCTCCAGGCCAGCAGCGGGCAGACAGTTGCGTCACTCCACACCGCCCGCACAACTGATGCGTGCCTTGACCGGGCACTTGGGACCTGCTATGGCCCCTGCACCACCCTCCACTCACCTGCCTTGAGAAACACACGTCACGCACAGCCTTCCGGGCGTCCTGCTGGGCCGGGAGGGCTGTGGGTGGGAGGCAGGCTCAGGCAGTGGTCGCCGACTCCGGCAATAGACCTGGTTCACCCTCGTCCTGCCCCGCAACCCCAGCTTACAGCCCCTGCTGCTGCAGCAGGGCCTGAGCTGGCCAGGGTCCTGTGCCCCACACTTCTTCATCCAGCTCTCAGTGCCTTGTGTCTGCCGCAAGGTCCTGGCATGGCCCTTTGATGACTTGTTGACTTTGGACAGTCTTTCGTTTTCCAACCAACACCCTCCCTGGAGATGGGGGCAGAGAACAGCAGTCTGCTGGATTTTTCCAGGTTTCTCGATGGTGTGACCAGACTGGGGCAAAGACACGCTGCCCAGGTGTTGATAAACAGTCCTAGCTGTGGGGACAGGCCCTGTTCAGGGACGAGGGGCTCCAGGATCTGTGGGTGGGAGGGCAGCTCTAGGGTTGCATGGCGCCTTTGTCCCTGTGTTAGAGGAAACTGAGGACTGAGAGGGGCCATCATACCACGGGACTCGACCGGTGTGTGAGCCCCTGGGGACCTGGCCCTACCCCAGTGTGTGAGCACTTTGGAGCAATGGACAGGGGCAGGCACCTCCAGCTGTGTGTCCTTGGGGAGGTTGGTGCACCTCTCTGGGCTTTCTATATGTGGCCTTAAAAAGGGAGAACAAATGATCCCTGCCGGCCTTCAGGAAAGTGGGGGAGGCAAATCAGGTAACAAACAGGGGTAGGTGGTTTGGAAGCTATTTTGAAAGGGAGGGTTTCTGCTTATCCCCTGCCTTTGACCTTGTTCTTTGTCCCTGTGTCCTTTGCCCTCCACTCAATGCAGTCTCTGTTCACCTCTGCAGGCAGCAAGATGGGCTGTGCCTCCTGGAGGGGTCTGGGCACATCTCAGGCCCAGGGGAGATTGGGTTGGGCTTGTTCAGGGATCCCTGTCTTGAATCTGGGGACCAGAGGGGAGGGAGACACAGCTCTACCCCTTCGAGCTATGGTTGGAGAGCAGATCAGCCCAGACAGGATGAGAGAAGCTAAGGCAAAAGTGTGGAATTCCCAAGGGGCTGGCAGGCCACCGTGGTGGGTGGACCTAGGGGTCAAGGAAGGCTCCCTATGGAGGTGGAGACGTTGGCACTAGGCCCTAGGGGATGGGAAGGAGTGGCGGTTCTGGCCTTCTGAGATGTGCAAATGGGCATCCAGGCAGAGGGAACAGCAGGAGCAAAGGCCCAGAGGCTGGACCACCAAGCATGTGCAGGGCTGGCTAGGAGGTGGGGGGATGGGAGGCCAGGCTGGATGGGCCCAGTCACAGGTCTGGTGGCCCGGGCTCTGTGGAAGGGCTGTGAGCTGCTGTGAGGATGAGCACGTTTCTCCTGGGGAGTATCTGGTCACAGGCAGGAGGCTTCCTCCAGGGGTGGCCAGCCTTGAGGGCCACTCTGCTCACCTAGGCTGCTCCCCAGGCCCGCCCAGCACCCATTCCCCTTCCCACCCTCAGGACCCTGCTTTGCCCTTTCTTGGGCACATGATGTCAGCATGCTGTGTCTCAGTTTCTCATCTGTGGAATGGGGGTGATAGCAGCGCCTCCCCCAGAGAGTCTTGGTGAGGGCTAAATGGCTGGTGTACGTGTACGTGAAGTGCTCGGAGCTGATCCTGGCACTCAGCACTGACATCTTAATTTCCCACCTGCCACGGAGACCCTTTCCCAGTGGTCACACTGGGCAGTGGTTCAGAAAGGGAAGCACTGTGCCCAGGGTGGGGCCCCAAGGAGAGCCTGTTTGCTCTTCTGTAAAATGGGGCACAATTGCTCACCTGGCTGAGGCTCAGGGAGGAGTCACACATGTAAGTCCTGGGCAGAGCTGCCCAGCTGGGCTGTGTTGGGGAAGGGCAGTGGGGCAGCCCTGCCCATGCGCACTCCCGTTCCTGGCGCCCCTGTGGCCCTCCACATGAGGGCCCCTGTCAGAGCCCAGGGATTGAGTCAGTGCGCTGTTGGCCGGCGGTGGAAGGAATAGTAAACGACAATTTTAATGTGAAAATGGCCCACAACTGTGTTGTGCCCTGGGGTGTCTTGAGGCAGTCAGGTGGCCAGGATGTGGCTGGAAGACGGCCCTCTGGTACCAGCCTTGCCCTCCTGCCCTTCACAGCCCCAAAGGGTGCAGGTTCCCGAGTCCACACCTGGGCCAAGAGGCCTAGTCCTCGGGGACATGCAGTTGTGCCCTGTACAGATGACCGTGCATGGCCTTAGCTGCTCAGGGGAAGTTTCTTCTTTTTCTCATTTCTGCTTTCCTGGCAGTTCCCAAGGCTGATAGGATCTGGGACAAGTTCTAAAAGCTGACCTAACGTGGCCTCAGGGACACTCCTGGCCAGTGCCGAGTCTGACGGAAGTGGGTCCGCCTGGCCCAGCCCTAGCCCAGCTGCCATGGGGACCTCGCCTCCCGATACTTCCTGCTGTCTTGCTGGGGTTTCCTGCCAGACACGGAGCTGGGAGACCCTCTCGGAGAGCCGCTTCCTGGGCTGGCTGGGCGGGGGACACTGCAGGCATGGGCCTCTCATGGCTGGGCTCCAAAGCCAGCCCAGGCCTGTCCGTGTGGCATCTGGGGGATAGGCCCAGCAGTTCATTCCCCGACGCTGGTGGGTCAGATGGGGGATGCTGAAACCCCAGGCAGGTACCAGCGCATGGTGGGAGGAAAGGGGGTCCTCATTTCTCAGGCCCCCCACCATCTGCTGGTGCCTGCAGCCCGAGGGGAAGGGCCCCTGAGCAGGTAGGCCGCAGGTGGCCAGGGCTAGACTTGGACTCCCAGGGCAGGCAACTCGGCCCTAATGGCCATCCTGGGTCCTGCACAGTTCAGGACGACCTGTGCCCCGGGCTGTCCTTTTGTTTCTTTGTCACTGTTACTTTGTGTGTGTGCAGCTTATTATGAGTTGGTGGAGTTCGTTGGGGAGGTGGAGTCTTGCAAAGTGGTGAGAGCCGGGTGTCAAGGAGGAGGAACATCCCAGTCCTGCCACCCACTGTTGTGTGCTCCGACCAGCCACGGAGCCGCTGAGCCTGCCCCATTCAGCCTCCTCCACATCCCTGCCTGCCCATTTTACAGATGAGGAAACTGAGGCACATGGTCACCCTGCTGGTGAGTGGTATAGCAGGATTGGGCGAGGTAGAGGAGATGCTGCGACTGCTCTGAGCCCCGCTCCTCACGGGCCCTTGGAAGGGGACTGATGCGCTTCACCGTATTTGTGGGGCCCAGCTATTGGCCACAGCCTGCCCCCATCTCCTCCCGTCCAAGCCCTGGGTGGGCCAGAGCACCCGGTTACACTATGGCCAGAGCCAGGCCTGTGGGTGTGGCAGGCCTGGTTCAAATTCCACGTCTGTGCCAGCCCCCCTCCTGCCTGAGCTGAGGACACTCAGTGGAGTGGCCCCCCACCTATGCAGCCTGTGAAGGTGAGGCTGGCTGTCCACAGCAGGTAGCGTGGGGAGCCAGCCGCGATCTGCGCAGAGCCGCCCCTCACCACACCTCCTTCCTATCTGGCTTCACTCCAGCTCTTGGTGCTGCGGAGGTTTTGAGGAAATCCCCTGGGAACACATTAACCAGGTGTTTGCTCCCTGTGCTGCCCAGGCCATGGGCACAGGTCTTGGCAGAGGGTACCCAAATGTAGCTCCTGGAAGCTGGTCAGGCCCACAGGGCTCCCCAACCTATGGGGGATGGGCCCCCAGCTGCCCTCAGGCCCGTCCCAAGACAGTGGAAACCGCCCAAGGCCGGGGGGCTGGTTCTGCCCTCTTTGGGACTGGCCTGTGCACTTGTCATCTCCAAGGCTCCAAGGCCCAGAGCAGCGAGGTTAGGGACAGGGAAGCAGATCAGCCCTGCAGCCCCTCCCCACCTGTGTGAAGCCCCCCCTCAGCCCACACAGCCTCAGTGTTCTCACTGCCTAGGGTAGATGCCAACTGTGTTGTGTCCTGGGGCAGCCCTAAGTTTGGGGCACATAGTCCTGGGTTCAAATTCTGATCTGCCCCTCCCTCAAGGTGGCCCTGGACAAACCCACTCTGAGCCTCAGTCTCCTGGTCTGTAAAATGGGAGAGTAGCCCAGCCTCCCACTTGGTGCATGGCAGGGTTTCCCAGAGTTTGGCCCCAGATGCACAGTTGGGGAGACTGAGGCCAGCAGAGAGGGTGCATGTTGTCAAGGCCACAGGGCTGGGCTTGACCCTGGTGCAGAGGTGTTCCCAGCCCCTGGGCCCTCCTTATCATCACAGAAGTTGAACAGGAAGCAGTTGGCTGGATGGGCTGGAAGCTCCCTTCACCAGGAGGGGCGTATGGTTTAGGGCCTGCTGGCCACCTGGGGCTCCGAGGCCATCCTGGGGTGTCTGCTGCGCAGCCCCATGGCACACATGGGAGACTGAGGCTCAGAGCAGGGCCACCTGTCCTGAAGTTACACAGCTGGAGCCTGGTGCAGGGAGCCCTCAAGAGCTTAGACCCCACAGGGTGGCCCCAGCCCCTGAGGGGATGGTGGTGTCAGCTGCCAGGACTTCAGAGCCCAGGGACCTGGGTTCAAGTCTCAGCCCAGCCCTCACTTGCTATGTGGCTTTGGATAAGGAGCTTCCCTCATTGAGCCTCAGTTTACCCACCTTAAGTGGTAAGGACAGCAGTGTGAGGACAGCAGGGGCACAGGTCTCCGTGGCTGGGGTCGCTAAGAGCTGAGGTTGGGAGAGCTAAGGCTTCGGCTGACGGTCCTCATTCCTATCTCGGAATGTTCCTCGCGACTGAGTGGCTGTGAAATATTTAAACAGTTCCAAAGAGCTCAGAATAAAGGGGGCTTCCTCCTCCCTAGAGGTCAACACGGTTAGCCTGGGTATATGAGTATGTTTATGTATGTGTGCATATAGTTTGTATATGTATGTGCTGTGTGCAGATGTGTATATCTTATACCTGTGATGTGGATGTGTGTGTACACATCTGTGTATGCGTGTGTATTGTGTACACGTGTATGTTTATGCAGTGTATGTGTTGTATTATGTTCATGTGTGTATTACACGTGTGTTGTATACATATGTGTTTGCATATGTGTGTATTTTGTGTATCTGTGCATGTGTTTGTGTGTGTGGTGTGCACGGGTGTGTGTGTGTTTACGTGTATGCATTTGTGTGTGGAGAGTATGCATGCATGTACATGAGTGTGTATATGTATGAATGTGTGTTTATGTGTGTGTGGATGTATGTTTATGTGCACACATGTCTACGTATACACACATATCTATGTACATGCCCTCCCAGAAGGTGGAAACTCCTCACGGGGTCTGTACCTGGCTTTTTTCTCTTAATGACAGGTCTTGGGATGGGGACCCAGGTGAGCATTAGGGTGCCTCAAGGGAAGGCATTTTGGTACTTTAGGTTTATGAAACTTAGGAGCACATGCCCACTGTGGGCAGCCTCCAGGGTGCTCTGCACTCAACAGCACACACGTGATGGGGCGTGGCCAGCCAGGCAGCTTTGCAAGAGCAGAGCTGGGGATGAACCTCAGTGCCAGGCACAGGCCCTTTAGGCGTGGGCCCTTTGTGTCCAGCCTCTCAGCAGCCTGGGAGGGAGCAGCCATGCCTTGGGCGTGCTGGGGCCTGGGGAAGCCCGGGAGAGCAGTGCCAGGCCCAGGTGGGAGAGGCTAAAGCAGAGACCCCAGAGGGGCTTCAGGGTACGTGTGGAATGACCAGAGAGCACCACTAAGGCCCTGGGGTCCGGGCCGGCTGCAGGCCCTGGGTGGAGGTGGCTTCCCCCCCCCGTGCGGGATGGTGTCTAGGATTTGACCCAAGTGAGCTTGCTAACTTAAGAGAGCAGCCGACGCTGAAGCCAGGTTGTTGGAACGTTCAGGCCCAGGTGCAGGCATCAGAGCCCACCTGTGTTCCCCACTGCCCACCCTCCCTTCTCTTGGGCACATAATTTTAGATGAAATTTAACATAAAAATACACACCATAAAAGCAAGGTTCCCTTCCTCTGTTAGTTGTGTGCGAGCTGCCTCGTGTATTTTTCATTGTGGGTATTTCTAGGCTGCAGAAAGCTGAGGCCGGGTGTCCATGTCCGCCCCTCCTTGCCTAGCCCTGCAGCACCCTGCTTTGCCATCCTGCATATTTCATGAGCCTGGAAACAGGAGCTTCCAGAGCAGGTCCCAAGAGGCCGGCCACCAGCAGTGGGTTCTCATGGCTGCCCCCAGCAAGGTGTACCTGTCCTAGGAGGCTGTGGTCCAGGACCTGGTGGCTTGCGGCACCTGTGGGCAAAGGGCCAGGGCTGAGGAAGTGGCGGGTTTGTTCTGGGTAGCTGGGGAGGGGCCCAGTAAGGGAAGCTTGATGGGGATGGACTCTGGCTTGAAAGAAAGTGGAAGCTGGTTGCTTGGAGTTGCCTTGGAATGAAACAGGACAGCCCAGAGAGGTGACCTCCCCACTGCAGGAGAGAGGGCTGTGTCTTGCCACGGGAAGTCCTGGGAGGCTTCCTGGAGGCAGTGGCCTCTGGGTGGGGCCTTAGAGCCTGAGACAACAGGGAAGGACACTGGGGGCTGTGAGGGAACTGAAGGGGTCTCCTCACAGAGCAGCCCCCTACCCCAGAGCAAAGAGAAGTCACTGGATGTTGCGTGGGGCCAGAAAAAGAGATCAAAACTTGTATCCCTGTGTTACTACTCCGAAAATTAAGGAGGAAGCTAAGCTCAACTGTACATGATATGCTGAGACATTTATTGAAAGCCTGCTGCATGCAGGGGGTGGTGGGCTCTGACAGCCAGTGCCTTGTTGCTTACAGTGGCCTGGTGAGGTGGCCAGACCTTTCTCAGGGCCCATGCTGAGGCTCGGGGACTGAGTGGCCTGTGGGGTCCCAAGGCTAGGAGGTTGGGAGGCGGCAGAGGCAGTCTCGGCCCTTGTCGGGGCCAGCGTTTATGGATCCGTCTGCCTACACGTCACTTCCCTTCCTGGCACCGACCCGGAGCCCAGATCCCGAGGGGAGGGGAGGCCTGGGGCGCAGGCAGGCCTGGGCGGGCAGGGAGGAGCGGCCTCACCCGCAGCCAGAGGGCAGGGATTGTGTAGCGGGCATTTTCCAGTCAAAAGCCAGAGTGTGTGTGCTGAGGTTGCTGTTTTATGTTTCCTTTCTCTCCAGGACTGTATTCCTAGGGAAGGTTTTGTAGAGGCCAAGCGCATTCTCGAGGCCTGTCATTAGAGTAATAAGCACTTACCAAGGCGGGGGCAAGAGAAGCCCTCACCTGCAGGGCGACGCCCCCCGCCCCACTGCCCCGCTGACCGTCCCCCTCCCTGCAGCCGTCCCGCTGGGGCCGGAGGCACCAGCCCATCAATGTGAACCATTATGCCAACAAGAAGAGTGCGGCCGAGAGCATGCTGGACATCGCCCTGCTGATGGCCAATGCGTCCCAGCTGAAGGCTGTCGTGGAGCAGGGCCCCAGCTTCGCCTTCTACGTGCCCATGGTGGTCCTCATCTCCATCTCCCTGGCGCTGCAGATTGGCGTGGGCGTGCTGCTCATCTTCCTCGGTAGGTGCCTGGGTATGGGAGGCTGGGCCGCTGGCATTTGCTCATACGCCCTGGGTTGGGTGCTCACCACCCTGCACACTCAGCTCCCAAGGCGCCGCTGGGTCCCCTGCCCTCCTCATGTGCGTGCAGTCCAGGAAATGGCCCTCTCCCCACCCTGCACTTGGGAAGAGCCAGAGTGGGCTGGGGCATCAGGACCTGTGCCTGTGGGGGTTGGAGCGACTGGTTTTCTGGGCCTTCAACGATCCATGCCGCCAAATGGCCCATCCGTGCCGGTCCTCACGGCCTAGGAGGGGCTGGCCTTCTACTCTCAGTGTCCCCAGCCTTGGCTATGGCTATCTCTAGTGACGATTGTCTAGTGATGAAAGGAGCAGCCAAGTTACACAGAGGTGTGCCAAGGAGACCCTGGGCTCGGGAGGTGCGGGAGGGGACCCTGGCCCAGGAGGTACAGAAAGGGACCCTGGGCCTAGGAGGTATGACCACAAGATGTGGGAGGGGCCCTGGACCCCCAAGAGGTGTGGGAGGGGACTTTTCACCCCAGTCATCCTCTCTCTGGGCAGAGTGACCAGTAATCAGCCCTGCTGTTTTTGTATGAAAACCCAGAGTGCTAGTCGTGCCTCCAACTTTCCAGTCTTCCCCCAAACTAAGGATCTAAATATTGTCACCTCTACCTCAGACCAGTTGCCTCCAGTGGACGGGCAGACAGACAGAGGGTCCACCCTGGTGGGAAGGTGGGGCTGGGCTCTCTGGGTGTTCCCTGGGGTCTCCAGGGGAGGCTGCCCTTCAGCTGCCAGGGCCCCCAGCGAGCCCCTGCTGCCTGTCCAGGTGAGGGTCCTCGTCAGGAGCAGCAAGCGTCTGGGTTGTTCCTGCTGTACCTCCTCCTTGCTATGTGACCTTGGACTAGTGACAACCTCCTGGGGGCTCAGTTTTCCCACCTGTAAAAATGGGCATAGAAATAGAGCCGTGGTAGTTGCATGGATCAATTGTGAAGATTAAGGCACATGAGGGGCTCGGCGCATTTGCCTTAGAAACCAAACTGGACCTTGGTGTGACATCCAGAAGTGATGTCTTTAGGTCCGTGACCTCAGGTGCTCGGCCTGCCTTCGCTTCAGTTGCTTATGAAGAAAGTGCGGGAGCTACAGAAGGTGTGGTCGCAGACGGCGGGGCTGCCCAAGCCGGGGGCCCTGTTGTTAGCAGATGTATTTTTCTCTGGGAGACAAAACTCATCCTAAATGTGGCTGAGGGCCCTGTAAGGCCCACTCAGCACAGCGGGACGCGCAACCCTTGGGGCAGGTCTCCTTCCACCGTCCCCAGGCTGGGCGCCTGTCAGGGCTGCCCTCGGCACTGTCCGCTCCCCTCTCGCCCGCAGTCAAGTACGACCTTAACAACCCGGAGAAGCACGCCAAGCTGGATTTCCTCAACAACCTGGCCACGGGCCTGGTGTTCATCATCGTGGTGGTCAACATCTTCATCACGGCCTTTGGGGTCCAGAAGCCCATCATGGACGTGGCGCCCCAGCAGTAGGGCACCCAGGTGAGCTCAGGGACGGGGCACGGGGGCCGCTGTTGTTCACTGCTGCGGCTGTCGGAGGCTCTCAGGGCGTGGCGAGTCCCCAGCCGGCCAGCCTTGGGAGCCTTCCCAGGCCGGGGGCACCCTCATCCACACCCATATGGTCTACACATGGCCATTGCCTTGAGGCCAGCCCTGCTCCTGGCACTGACCGCCTGGTCACAGTGTTTAGGCAAATGAGTTTTAGAGCCACCATTCAAATATCCGAGAGCTGACCTTAAAATAAGATTTCTGGTTTCTCTTAATAAATCAGGATTCGGGATCTTGTCACTTGGAGCCCCTGTGACACCTCAAGTCTGCCTTTTACTGGGCCTTGCAGGGCCCACGTCACCCACCTGCTTTGGGACAGACCCTGGTTGTGGGATGTAGGCTGAGGCCATCCCCCTTCTCAAATACAGGACGAGGCCCCCCAGTGGAGGAAGCACTTCCCATACCGCACTCAGCTACTCCCTAGGTCCTTGCTCAGAGAGGGTGAGCATCTGCCTGAAGACACACAGCCTGGGAGCAGGACCCACAGGGAGACCTGGGGTGGCCTCAGGCCAGGGTTGTACACACCACAGTCTACACGGTCTCGGGCCTAGTGGTCACTCCTCAGGTTTGTCCCAGAGGTGAGCTGCCACGGGAGGGGTGGGCATTCCTGACAGATGGCCATGTCTCCACCAGCAATGCCCCATGGCAGAGTGGACAGGAGCAGTCTGTGCTCAGGGCAGAGCACCTGTGTGTCACGAGGACATAAGAGAAAATTTTCCAAAGTGGCCATAGTGAATGATGAGGTGGGACATTGGAGCCAGGCCTTCGGCCAGGCGGCTAGGTTGGGAGTGTCTGGTATTCATCCAGCCATTCCTCCCGTGGTCTCCCAGGAACCCATGGCCATTCCCAGTTTGGGACATGCTGGTTCCTGGTGCCCTGGTTGTGGAACTTGAAGCTGCCCCCTCGTTGGGACCAGCAACCAGGAAGCCCCACCGCCTGGCTGCCAGCCCTGGTTTGTTAAGTTGCACCCCTACCGAACCCCTGGACGCCAGCCTGCTCTCTTGCTCAGGGTGTGATGACCAGGCCATTTATTAATCACCTGCCATATGCCCTGACCACAGTCCTTGACCCTCCCCAAGCATTAGTCCTCTGCCTCCTGGGAAGAGGCTGCTAGGGCCTCTGGGCCACACAGAGACCCAGCCAGGTCCTTGGGGCTGCCCTCAGAGGCTCCAAGTCCAAGGCCGCTGCATATCCTGTTGCTGGAGGAGCCAGAGAAGTCAGGAGTGGTTGCCTGCCCTGCCGACCCTGGGCCAGGCCTTTCAATCCTGATCCCAGGAATGCTGTCTTCATCCCATTTCCAGAGGAGAAACAGGCTTGGAGAACTTTGATGTCTCTCCCATGTCAGAATCTTCCTGAGTCCAAGTGTCCAAGTGTCAAGATGGCCCAACGCTCACAGACTGGCCACCAGGACGGGCTCAGAGCCTCTTCTCTCTCTCCTTTCCAGGACCCTAGACTGTGCCTTCCCCACAGCCCGGCCGCCCAGACCCTAGGAGCCACCCAGGAGTTCTCCCTGCGAGTGGCACTCCCTGCAACTGCTAGAGCCCAGGCCACCCGCTGCCACTCTGTCTCTCGGCTGCTCTCACCAGAAAGTGGCTCCCTCTGGCACGTGGGGGCTGGCCATGGGGCCAAGAAGGTCAGAACTGGACAGCTGCAGAGACCTGTGCCCAGAGAAGGTTATTGACCTGCCCAAGGGTACACAGCAGGTCCATGGACAGGCCGGACCAAGGCCCAGGGCTGGCCTCTGTCTCAGGACATCCCAGAAGGACCAGGAGAGACTCCTCCCTCTGCTGGCGTGCCAGCATCCCCGCCTCCCATGGGCCTGCTCTGGTCGCCCTGCCTCTGCCTGCTTCCCAACTAAGGGACACTGGACAGCCAGCACTGCCCTTTGGCCCTAGTGGTGGCTGCTGGCTCTGGCCTCAGTGCCAGGGCTCGGCGGCCACCAGGAGAGAGCCAGGCAGCAGGCCCGGCACACACCTTCCACCAGCAGTGGCTGGGCAGAGGCCCAGCTCCCTCCATGAGGGTCTGAGCACCCCCTTTTCTAATCAAGAATGACCAATAAAGCTCATGTTCCTCCTTGTCGGGCTCCCTGCACCGTCCTGTCCCCTCCCAGGCTGGACCCTGCTGCAGCCTCCCCTCCCGCCAGGCCCCTCCTGCAGGGGTGTCAGGAGCACACAGTTCGAGCCAAGGGGGCCTTCTCCTGAGTCTTGGCTTTGGGGAGCTTTCTGGCTCCTGACATCTCAGCGTGAGGTTGGAGGTACCGAGGCTGGGGTCTGAGGTCGCAGATGCCTGCAGCCCCTGGCAGCCCCTGGCAGCCCCTGGCAGGGGCCATGTGTGCAGCAGCATTTTGTCTGCTCCTCGTCAGTTTCCAGCCCTCTCACCATTTCCTGACACTTGGCGTTGTCCTATTGAGGTCCTAGGCCCCTGTCTCACCTTTGTCCTGAGTCTGTTTGCTGCTTCCCCTGCAGTGGTGTCTGGTGATGCCTGTGGTCAGTGGGGACATTCTCTGTGGGAGCAGAGGGGCTGGGACCAGGTCCTAGACTCTTGGGGCCTGCCCGCCGGTGGAGACCCAGCTCCCAGGCTGCCAGTGTCTGAGCCCTCCCTCTCTCCTCCCTGGTCCTTGGTCCTTCCCCAGACTCCTGCCGACCGCCCTGTTCTGCCCACTGCACCTCCCGGCCCCAGCCTCATCTCACTGGACACCCGGCATTTTGTGAACTGAGGTGGAGGCGGGTTCAGCCCACCCTGTCTTCCTTCCTGCATGGCCTCTCTGTGTCCCCAGCCCCCTCCAGGGGAGATACCCGACGTCTCCCACTGGTGTCTGCTCTCTCCTCCTCCGAGCAGCCTTCCAGAGCCACAGGGTGGGGGCGAGGACTCCAGAGCCCCCAAAGCCCCACTTCCCCCTCACTTTTCTTCTCGCCCCCTCTCCCGGCTGAGCCCCCTGAGCCTGGGGTGCTTCTAGCTCCCAGTTCCTTAGCATGAGGATGCCCCGCAGCCTCGTGTGGGGGCCGACAGGTCAGCTCTGCAACCTCCTGAAGGTGGTCGAGAAGCATCGTGGGCGAAATGATCTAATCCTGGGCTTGGTTTAAAGTACTGCAGGGGAAAACCAGTAGGGAAATAGATGAGAAAGTGTTGATAACCATAGAAGCACTGCTTTCTCCACTTCTATGTTTGTCCCATAAAGGGAGTTTTAAAAAGTAGTTGGTATGTGGAATAAGTTCCAAGATGTTCTAAGTTGAAAAAGGAAGATGTGGAGACATACATGTGGGTGCAAAACGTGCTTCCCAAGGCGGTGATGTGGCATCAGCCGCCGGGCTGTGAGGGGCGGCCAGCTGGGGCGGGCTCAGATGCGTACCGCCCGGCGCTGAGTCCCCGGTCTGGCCTCGTGTGGCCCGCGGCCTGCGGTGTGGATGGCCAGTGTGGTCTCACAGCCCAGCAGCCGGATGTTGGCCAACACTGGCTTAGTTCCTCCTTTGGCCAAGACAGGAAGTTTACCCAGGCCGGGCAAGAGGGGTGCACCCAGATGGCTACAGTGAGTCCTAGGCCATCAGCCGGGCTGGACTCCAGGGTCCTTGGGGACAGGGCGTGGCTCTCCCCAAGTCTGAAGCCTGGATGCCGGGTTGATCTTTGACAAAACACCTAAGTACCTGGGCGGACCCCAGTTCCAAGTTGAGTGTGTGTCCTGACCCTCCTCGGCCCCTGTCCCCAGGTGGCCTCCCCCTACTCCAGCCCCCATGCCAGCCACCCCACACCTCCCCACCCACCGTTTCCCAGGCTCCATCTCGCCAGCCGCTGCACTGGCTCTGACCCTCACTCCATGTGTTCCCCATCTCAGCCCTCGGATGTGCTGCTGCTCCCGGACAGCTGCTTCCCAGGCGCTCCAAGGGCACACCACCGTCTGACGCTGCCCCTCCCTGTTCACCGTCCTGGCCCCCGTTGGTGCCTTGGGCTAGAGTCACCATCCACGTTGCCAGAGACATTAGTGTGGCCAGGTGGGGTCCCCCTGGAGCCAATGTCAGAGCCTGACCCAAGTCCAGGGCTGGTACCCTGAGAACAAGGGTCCTGCCCACTGGGTCTCCTGAGGGCCCAGGGGCTCTGCTGGGGATGGGGCAGGGTACACCCTGTTCATGTCTGTGCTTCTTCTTAGGGATCCCTGGTCTGGCCTGGCTCCCCCACTGGAGAGCCCGCTGCCTACAGTGGTCTGTGTCCACGCACAATCCAGCAGGCAGTAGGTGCTCAGTAAATGTCTAGGGCAGAACCCACTGCCTCATCCACGTGTTCTGGGCCCTATGCACCCATGACAGTGGTCAAAGGGCGGACAGAAAACTGAGGCCCAGGAGCTGGTCGAGGCTGAGCTAGCTTCTGGGAGGATGTGACAGCCCCTGTGGGGTCCCTGGCCCCTGACCTGTCCATTCTGGCCCATGCTGCCCTGGGGACCCAGCTCTGCTCTCATGGGGATGGCACCATGATGAGGGGACCTAGAGAGTGAACAAGGGGCAAACAAGATGTTCCCACCGAGCTGGCAGGGCCATGGAGGGACACAGGGAGCTCAGGAGAGGTGGGCAGGGAGGTCAGCAGCCAATGCTGGGATGATGGGAGGGGCGCAGAGCAGAAGTCTGGGAAGAATGTTCCAGGCAGAGGATAGCCTGTGCAGAAGCCCTAAGACTGGTGTGAGCTGGGCCTGGGGTTGGTGGAGGTGGGGGCATGACAGGTGGGGGGCAGTCACGTAGACCTGCGAGTGACCAAGGCGGGCTGAGTGAGACAGGAGGGCTGTTTTCCCAGCCTTCATACTGTAATAGGCAGACAGGCGATTCGGTAGATGGACACAGGGTGGACTGATGGATGGATGCATGCGTGGATGGTAGATGAGAAGTAGATGACCTGGGTAGATTGACGGAGACAGGTGGGAGATAGGTAGACAGATGTAGGTCTCCATGGTCATTCCAAGGCAAGGAAGTAGTGCTGTCCCAGCTGGAAGCCCAATCTCGGCACCTCACTCCCTTGCAGGAACCACTTGCTGGGGCCTCTTCAGCCCTAAGATGCCCTGTGTGTGTCCTTAGACACCGTGTTTATTCGGATGTGTCTTCTAAGTCCTGTTGGAGCTGCAGGTCCTCCCTCAAGAGGCTCTGCTTTGCCTGCTGTTACCCTTTGAGGACCTGGCCATTCATTCCACCTGAGCAGAGGAGGGACGAGGGTGGGCCGGGGGACAGGGAGGGCGGGACTGCCACCATCCAGGTGCGAGGTGCTGGACTGGGACTGTGGGTGGGCCGGGCTGGGAGGAGGGCGTGATTCTGGGTGTATCGAGATGGTGGCCGTTTGCGTTTGCGGCTGAACCCAAGATCATTGCCCCTTCCCACGCGTACTGCACCCAGGCCTTCCCTCCCTCGCACCCGTGTTTAATCGGGTGTCATTCCTGTTTCCCTGCTGCGCTGCTATTAAAAATCAGAGTGCCAAAGGCTTTCATATTTTCCTTCTCTTTCTCTCAAATACTTGCGTTAGGAAAGCACTGACCCCAGGCGCCGTTAAGCTGGTGTGGCTGCGGGAAGCGTCCCCACCAGCCGAGCATGTCCTCCTTCTTCCAGCCAGCACGTTTAAGCCGGTTTAGCCCCTCCCTTCGGCGCCCTCGCGCCTCTGCAAGATGGCACTAGGACCCTGCCCCAGACCAGATTCAGATTCATGGTCCCACTGCGCTTAAGCAGGGCTTCCCCAGACAGCCCCGCTGCGGGAGGGTTGGTGTCCTTCATCGCTCGGCTCCCTGAAACGGGTCTCTACTCACACCGACCTTCCAGGTGAGGAGACCAAGGTTCTGAGCGGTGGCGTGACCCCCGCAGACCATGGTGACAGCACAGTGTGCCCAGCACTCCATCTCCTTAGCACGCCTCAGGAGCTGGGGTCAGTAGAGATCAGGAGGGTCCTGATCCCTGAAGCCCCGCACCCTATCTGTGTAAGGGAGGGTGTCTGGGGCCCACCCATGGCCCTGCAGCTGGTCAGGCCTAGGGTCTGTACAAAGGTGGGGCAGCGGTGGCCCCAGCGTCCTTGGAGCGGCTAGGGGACATTGGCAGGACCTCTGTGAGCCATCTGCAAAGGAGCAGCAGGCCCCTGCTCACAAGGTGCTGACCCAGCGGGAACTGGAAACAGCAACACGACATTAAAGTGGTGTCAGCATCCCCCTCAAAACCTGACCCCGCGTTTGCAGAGTCAACATCATCATCTCTCCTAGACTGGAGCCCGAAATTGTGCAAGACCCAGCTGCATTTCCGGGTGGCTCCCAGCTCATGAGCCCACGTGCCCCCGTGTCCTCGCTGGCCTGTGACCCACCTACTCCTGGGTTCAATAACAGGTCCTGTCCCACTCCACAACACCCCTCCCTCCCTGCTCCTCCCCACCCACTTGCTCCCTCGAACCTTCCCTTTTCCTCACTCATTCTCCCTCCCTTCTCATGCCTCCTCCACCTCTCCCTCATCCCCTCTCACCCCGACCTCTGGTAATGGGAGTTCTCCCCACCGCAGCGCCCCCTACCAGCCCCTGCACAGTTCTGGACGTGGGAACAGCATCCCCGAGCTGCGGCGGCCTGGAGGGAAGCGCTCTCGGTACTGGGGTGCCAGGACGGTTCCTGGAGCAGATGGCATTTTACCCAGGACCTGAGGGACGAGCTGATGGCGGCTTGGTAAGGAGTCCTCAGGCAGCGGGAGCAGCCTGTTCTTTCCACGGGCACGCAGAGCCCAGCTGCAGAGGCGCGGAACACAGCCAGCCCGTGGTTGCAGCGTGCGCATGGGGACTCGGGGAAGGCCACTGAAGGCCTCAAGTGCCCACGGGCTCCAGCAGGGGATCGTGGCCTGTGGTGCCGCTCACTCCGCTGTGGACTTAGTTTATTCCTGGTCACCGGCACTGGTTGACCAGGCACTGGTTGGCAGGCGAGGCCTGATGGAGAGGCCCGGACGCCCCATCATCCTCCCCCGCCCCGGACATCAGCCTCGAAGGGGAGGCCTGTGGAGCACTGCCCAGGCCGGCGGCAACAGAAGGGTCGGGCCGAGCCGGTGGTCGGGGTGCCACAGCCCGGTCAGGTGAGCACGGACCTGCAGGCCGGGGCTGGGAGGGGGTCCGAGGACAGCCTGGGCTGGAACTAGACTGTGGGCCTCAGGGCAGGGCAAGGGTGGCTCACGGAGGGAAGGGGAAAGTCAGCGGTCCTGGGAGGCCAGCAGGCCCAAGTCCAGGGGACAGACGTGTCCTGCAGGCCCCTCGCTCGGAGGATGGCACCCTGCCCATGGTACCTGGGGAATCAGGGCCTCACAAGTGGCTTCAGGCAGCCCAGGTGTGTCCTCCATGGTCTCAGGTGGAGCCAGCGCCGGGACCTGCCCAGGCCACAGGCCTGTGGGCCTGCCTGTCTCTGGATGTTTCCCCTGTTTCAGTCATGCCTGTCTGTGCCCTTCACCCGGGCATCTGTCACCTGTACCCGGTGTCTCTATCAGCTTCACCAGGTGTCACCTTTACCCAGTTGTCACTGTCACCTTCACGAAGTGTGTCACCTTTACCCAGGCATTCAGTGTACCTTCCAGCAAGCAGTAAATTCATAAAAGTATTAATATTTCTGAGGCAAGGGTGCTTTAACAGGGCCTTGCTATGCCAACCCCTGCCCCGGGAGTCCCAGAGCAAGGTTCCCACTGCACAGATGGGCAAACTGAGGCTTAGGGGTGTGGAAGCACATCCCTGGTCCTGCAGCTCAAAGAGGAGTGAGGCTGCTGTAAACCACCTCTCCTCAGGGGGCGTGGGGCGTCCTGGCAGGTGGGGTGGCTCTGAGGCCATGGCTCCCCTGGATTCTGACGGGCAGCGCCAGTGCTGTAAGGCAGAGCTCCTTACTCCGGGGCCCACGTGTCCCCGTGTTAACGAGCTCCGCGCCCACGGCTGAGTGGAGCCCATCCGGGCCTGGCCCAGCCACCCAGGCCAGCGCAGCTTCGCACAGGCAGCCAGGCCAGCACTGTCGGGGCAGAGCGCCTCTCCGCACCCCGGAAAACAGGAACTCCTGATTCTGCGGTTGACCAATGTTTTTGTTTCCCCAAAAAAAGTCTGTGAGGGAGGAGCTGCTGAGGGGAGGCAATGGGGCCCTGGCCAGGCCCTGCAGCCTGTCCTCCTGCGCGCGTGTCTGTGCCCACGTGCACGCCGGGAGGGGCACGTGAACCGGGAGAGGAGGGGACACTGTGGGGATGTCTGAGGGGGGGGACAGTGTAGGGATATCTGAGGTGGGAGGGGACAGTGTGGGGGACGTCTGAGGTGGGAGGGGACAGTGTGGGGACGTCTGAGGTGGGAGGGGACAGTGTGGGGATGTCTGAGGTGGGAGGGGACAGTGTGGGGGA